CTTCACTGTGGGACTGACCCACCTTCAGACTGAGGGACTGCCACCTCAAGGATGAGGGACTGACCACCTTCAAGACTGTGGGACTGACCACCTTCAAGACTGTGGGACTGACCACCTTCAAGACTGTGGGACTGACCACCTTCAAGACTGTGGGACTGACCACCTTCATGACTGTAGGACTGACCACCTTCAAGACTGTGGGACTGATCACCTTCAAGACTGTGGGACTGACCACCTTCAAGACTGTGGGACTGACCACCTTCAAGACTGTGGGACTGACCACCTTCAAGACTGTGGGACTGACCACCTTCAAGACTGTGGGACTCGTCCACCTTCAGACTGTGGGACTGACCACATTCAAGACTGTGGGACTGTCCACCTTCAGACTGTGGACTGACCACCTTCATGCTGTGGGGACTGACCACCTTCAAGACTGTGGGATGACACCTTCAAGGTCTGTGGGAATGACCACCTTTCAAGACTGAGGGATGGACCACTTCAAGACTGAGGGACTGACCACCTTCAAGCTGAGGGACTTGACCACCTTCAGACTGTGGGTTGACCACTCAAGACTGAGGGACTGCCCACCTATGAAGATGAGGGACTGACCACTGGAGGACTGAGGGGACTGACCACCTTGTAGACTGAGGGACTGACCACCTTCTAAGACTGTGGGGGACTGACCACCTTCAAGTCTGAGGGACGGACTGGACCACCTCAAGACTGAGGGACTGACCACTTCAGACATGAGGGACTGTGACCACTTCAAGATGGGGGGACTGACTGACCACTTCAGACTGAGGGACTGAATGGACCACCTTCAAGACTGAGGACTGACTGACCACCTTTCAAGGACTGAGGGGACTGATGACACCTTCAAGAACTGTGGGACTGGACCACCTTCAAGACTGTGGGATGACCACCTTCATGACTGAGGGACTGCCCCCCTTCAAGGGAGGACTGGACCACTTCAAAACTGAGGGATGACACTTTCAAGTCTTATGACTGACCTCCTTACAAGATGTGGGACTGACCACCTTCAAGGATGAGGACTGACGCCTTCAACGATGAGGGACTGACCACCTTCAAGACTGAGGGACTGACCACCTTCAAGACTGTGGGACTGACCACCTTCAAGACTGAGGGACTGACCACCTTCAAGACTGAGGGACTGACCACCTTCAAGACTGTGGGACTGACCACCTTCATGACTGTGGGATGACACTTTCAAGGACTGAGGACTGACCCCCTTCAAGACTGAGGGACTGCCCACCTTCAAGACTGTGGGACTGACCACCTTCAAGACTGTGGAACTGACCACCTTGAAGACTGAGGGACTGACCACCTTCAAGACTGAGAGACTGACCACCTTCAAGACTGAGAGACTGACCACCTTCAAGACTGAGGGACTGACCACCTTCAAGACTGAGGGACTGACCACCTTCAAGACTGAGGGACTGACCACCTTCAAGACTGAGGGACTGACACCTTTCAAGACTGGAGGGGGACTGACCACCTTCAAGGACTGTGGGAATGACCACTTCAAGACTCTGGGAATGTCAACCTTCAAGACTGAGGGACGTCACCCTTCTAGAACTGTGGGACTGACCACCTTCAAGACTCAGGGACTGACCACCTTCAAGACTGAGGCTCAGACTGACCACCTTCAAGACTGAGGGACTGACCACCTTCAAGACTGAGGGACTGACCACCTTCAAGACTGTGGGACTGACCACCTTCAAGACTCAGGGACTGACCACCTTCAAGACTGAGGGACTGACCACCTTCAAGATTCAGGGACTGACACCTCAAGGATGAGGATGACCACTTCAGGATGTGGATGACACCCTTAAGATCAGGGACTGACCATCTTCAAGACTGGGGACTGACACCTTCAAGATGTGGGGGACTGACCACCTTAAGACTGTGGGGACTGACACCTTTCAAGACTGTGGCGACTGTCCCTTCTAGACTGTGGAGACTGACCCCTTCAGATGTGGGACTGACCCGTTCAAGATGTGGGACTGACCACCTTCAAGATGAGGGACTGACCACGTTAAGATGAGGGATGACCACCTTCAAGGGACTGTGGGACTGACCACCTTCAAGGACTGTGGGACTGACCACTTCAAGACTGTGGGACAGCCACCTTCAAGATGTGGGGACTGACCACCTTCAAGCACTGGGGCCTGACCACTTCTAGGGACTGTGGGACTGACCACCTTCTAGACTGAGGGACTGACCACCTTCAAGACTGAGGGAGGTCAATTCAAGCTGCGGGACTGACCACCTTCAAGACTGTGGGACTGACCACCTTCAAGACTGAGGGACTGACCACCTTGAAGACTGAGGGACTGACCACCTTGAAGACTGAGGGACTGACCACCTTGAAGACTGAGGGACTGACCACCTTCAAGACTGTGGGACTGACCACCTTCAAGACGGAGGGACTGACTGACCACCTTCAAGACTGAGGGACTGACCACCTTCAAGACTGAGGGACTGACTGACCACCTTCAAGACTGAGGGACTGACTGACCAACTTCAAGACTGAGGGACTGACGACACCTTCAAGGGACTGAGGGACTGACCACCTTCAAGACTGTGGGACTGACCACCTTCAAGACTGTGGGACTGACCACCTTCATGACTGAGGGACTGACCACCTTCAAGGCTGAGGGACTGACCACCTTCAAAACTGAGGGACTGACCACTTTCAAGACTGAGGGACTGACCACCTTCAGACTGTGGGATGACCACTTCACGACTGGAGGGACTGACCACCTTCAAGAGCAGGGACTGACCACCTTCAAGATGAGGGACTGCCACCTTCAAAGATGTGGGGATGACCACCTTCAAGATGAGGGATGACCACATTCAAGTCTGAGGGACTGACCACCGTCAGGGGGAAAACTGTGGGTCTGACCACCTTCAAGACTTGGACTGCCACCTCAAGACTGTGGGACTGACCACCTTCAAGACTGAGGGACTGACCACCTTCAAGACTGAGGGACTGACCACCTTCAAGACTCAGGGACTGACCACCTTCAAGACTGAGGCTCAGGACTGACCCCTTCAGACTGAGGACTGACCACCTTCAAGCAATGGAGGGACTGACCCCTTCAGACTGTGGGGACTGACCACCTTCAAGTCTCTAGGGACTGACACCTTCAAGACTGAGGGACTGAACCTCCCTTCAAGGTCAGGGGGATGACACCTTCAAGACTTGGGGACTGACCCACCTCAAGACTGTGGGACTGACCACCTTCAAGACTCAGGGACTGACCACCTTCAAGATGATGGGACTGACCACCTTCAAGACTGTGGGACTGACCACCTTCAAGACTCAGGGACTGACCACCTTCAAGACTGTGGGACTGACCACCTTCAAGACTGTGGGACTGACCACTTCAAGACTGAGGGACTGACACCTCAAGTGAGGGACTGACCACCTTCAAGACTGAGGGACTGACCACCTTCAAGACTCAGGGACTGACCACCTTCAAGACTGAGGGACTGACCACCTTCAAGACTGAGGGACTGACCACCTTCAAGATGAGGGATGACACCTTCAAAGGACTGAGGGGACTGCCACCTTCAAGACTGAGGACTGACCACTTCAAGGACTGAGGGACCTGGACCACCTTCCAGACTGGGGACTGGCCACCTTCAAGACTGAGGGGACTGACCACCTTCAAGACTGAGGGGATGACCACCTACAGACTGAGGGGACTGACACTTCAAGGACTGAGGACTGACCACCTTCAAGACTGAGGGACTGACCTTCAAGATGAGGGACTGACACCTTCAAGAATGAGAGACTGACCACCTTCAAGACTGAGGGACTGACCACCTTCAAGACTCAGGGACTGACCACCTTCAAGACTGAGGGACTGACCACCTTCAAGACTCAGGGACTGACCCCCCCTTTCTTGTCTCAGTGTAGAGGTGACACAGTCACTACCAGGCAACACTTCTGCAACATTAATATACCCAGGTGTTGCACCACGACTCAACTAATCAACATTACCCACACCAAACAAGTTACAAGCGGCCCAGGTCCCACGGTCGAAACATTCCCAGGTAACCCTGACCTGGAGTGCCCTCCTATGTGCTTTCTACACCTGCGAGTGGCGTTGTGTGGTGTGTGGCACCTGTGTTGACTTCAATAAAACCTACACTAAAACACTTAGCATTTTCTTGTGTGTTTTTCTATGCATTTTTCTGGTTTATTTTGGTTTGGCTATCGTGGACCCAAAATATTGTTTTATTATAATATTTAGTTTTTAATTCACTAAAAAGGATAATTATGTATCGAAATGTAATGTAAAGTAAGCCTTTCATTTGTCTTAATTACTTTATTCAGGAGCCTACATATATATATATATATAGCATATATATTATATATTATATATATATATATATATATATAGATATATATATAATATTATTTATATATTATATATAGAATATTAGAATCTAAATGGTTTTTTTCTCCCCCCCGTCTTTTAGAAGTAGATATGGTTAGGGTGTAGTAGAGTAGCATTGTTCTTACTGGTGGATAGTAGATAGTTAAGGACAAGAGGTGGGATTATAATAGGTAGGGGCTGCTGGTCCATGCTAGGTAGGGGCTGCTGGTCATGCTAGGTAGGGCGCTCGCGCGCGCGCGCTCTGCTAGTAGTGGGCTGCTGGTCCATGCTAGGTAGGGCTACTGTCCTGTTAGTAGGGGCTACTGGTCCATGCTAGTTAGGGGCTGCTGGTCCATGCTAGGTAGGGCTACTGGTCCATGCTAGGTAGGGGCTGCTGGTCCATGCTAGGTAGGGCTACTGGTCCATGCTAGGTAGGGGCTGCTGGCCATGCCTAAGTAGGTCTGGTCCATAGACAGGCCATCTAACAGGCCTATTAAACCAGGTCTTTAAATCCCCCTCCCCAAATAAATTTTTAAACTTATACAACATTAAAAACCAGTTTTAAACCCAACTAATACACGTCTTAAACAG